AATAGTAAAGTAAAGTACTGATGCCCATCTCTGCAAATTAGTCTAAAATTATATAGCAAGAACAAATGAATAGCAGAAGGTTCAATAATAATACAGTCAATGTCCAAAGGAGAAGAAACGTTTAAGTAGAAATGGACTCCCAGCAGTTAATCATAAAAACAACACTTCTTTTGTACACAAAATCAAGTCATAATTTGTTTGGAAAAACTTAAGGCACACAGTGACTCATATAAACAGATGCTGCATGAACGAATGGCTTAGTTGGGATATTGAAGCTCTATCGTGAGGGAAATGCATCAAGATCATTGACCACTAGAGACATCAGTCAAGTGACTGCAGTGTTTGAGGTGAAATGTGTTGCATAGAGCACACCCATTACTGAGGTCTTCAATAGACTTTTCTTGCAATCCAATTAGAAATTATTAAAGGTTATGACCGCCACTTACTTAGCCAATATGCATAACAACCAACAAAAGGATATTCAGCCCACATACATTCAAAAGTTTGGGGTCGGTAAGATTTTTTAATCACCAAGCCTGCATGTATTTTTGATTTATTTTCTCAATATATTTTAAATTGTCATTTATTCCTGTGTTGGCAAAGCTGAATTTTCAGTAGCCATTATTCCAGTCTTCAGTGTCACATGATACTTCAGAAAACATATAAATATGCTGATTTCTTATAATTATGAATGCTGAAAATAGTTGTGCTGCTTGATATTTTTTTGTGGAAACAGTGATACTTTTTTCAGGATTCTTTAATGAATAGAAAGTTCATAAGAACAACATTTATTTGAAACAGAAATTTTTTGTAACATTATAAATGTCTTTACTGCCACTTTTGATAAATTTAATGCATCCTTGCTGAATAAGTGATCATTTCTTCTAAAATAAAAAAAATCTTACTGACCCCAAACTTTTGGCTATCGTGCTACAGTCATGATACATCCAATTCATGAGTGTATAGAACAGAAAATTCACAGTTGCTAAATTGTATTGTGAATGCCTTCATATCTTAAGGCTGTTGTACACACAATGCTCAGATGTCATAGCTGTTTTTTTTAGTATGGCTGAAGTGCTGTATTATCCAACTGGAAGCCAGAACCAGAACTACGCAAACTTTAAAACTAAAGTATGCAGCTAAATGTAATAAAACAAGAGATAAATCCTAAATATATACTTGCTGGGTTTAGGTCTGCATATAATAGGTGTGCTATTTGCAGAAGAAAGAAAATCATAAATAACCATACAGTATATGAAATATTCAAAGTTTTATTTCGTCAATTTCTTTTCCATTAGAAGAAGAAAATTGCTATACAGAAATATAACTCAACATCAGAGGTCATCTTAATTTCAACCATGCTGCTCTGAGCATCTGTAGACAAAGGCATGATGCAACCAGGCTCAGCTGCGTGATATTTCTATAGCAACAGGTAATCTTGTAATTTGTTGAAACGTGCTTCATTTATGTAACTGATTTCCTATTGACATTTCATTGATTAAGTGTGTAATCACCCCTTTTAGCTCACCACTTTTTTTCCTCTCCCAAGGGAACAAGAGAGCAACTGAAATGGTTAGGAGCAATAATTATTCACTTGACATGGACTATTTAATGAATGAAAGATTTAGTTTGATTTTACAAAAGTCACATGAAACCTGTCCATATATGTATGTATATGAATATGTATATGCATATGTACACTAGCAGTCTAGACAGTTTGGAATAATAATTTTTTTTTTCTTTTGAATCTTTTGAAAGAAGTCTCTTATGCTCACCAAGGCTGAATTTATTTTATTAAAATATTATATGAATTATATTATATTATTAAAATATTAAGTGGCAAAAACGGTTTTCGACCATTATTAATAACTGAACACAAAAGTTATCAGCATATTTGAATGTTTTTTGAATGATCATGTGACACTGAAGACTTTGCCATCAGAGGAATAAATTACATTTAAAAAAATAAATAATGAATTTGTACTAAATGGGAAATGAAATGTGAAATATTTATGTGCCACTGTTTGTTCTATAAATCATACTCCATAGACAAAACAGTATGTGTTTGCTCATAAAATAGATATCTTTATAAATACACACCACACACACTCACTCAGCCAACCTCTATATGAGCCGGGTATAAACACCTTCCCTCTGTATGTGATGTGGGCGTGTGAGCGTTGGTGTCTATGGCTGAAAGGTTATTGTAAGAAAATATGAAAGGCTGAGTGAGATGCTTGCCCGCGGTGCCGGCCACACACACACTGACTGCTGCCTGAATCAGAGCAGAATCTACTTACACATAGTAGCATCACTCTTGAACTCCCTCGGGATGATGAATTCTTTTATTATCTCAAATGAGACCTCCAGTGCTGGGTTCACGGCTGCTATCAGATACTTGTGGTGGACAGAGGGAGAGCTTTAACGAGATCCTGTGTTGAGAAAGGCTCTGCTGTCATCTTGTACACTCTCATAAGTAAAGCAGTATGGCTTCATATAGATTCCTGCAGATTCATAGCCGTCCCTGTGCCTAAATACTCCCACATGGATTAGGAGATGGATTTTCCCAGTCCAAACACAGAGATCAATACATCTCTATTGCCTATACATCAGCTCAGGATATGCAGTGTGTGTGAGAGATATATATATATATATATATACAGTATATATTGTCAGTTTGTTAGTAACTTAAAAATATGCTTCATGTTGACATTAAATGACATTGAAATAAGCAAGTTTTATTCAAGTCCAAAAATGTGATTATCAAGATGAAGATCATTTGTCTTTTCTTCTAAAATGATCATAAAGACTATTTAAATGAAACATGAGGAAATGTTTTTTTTTTTTTTTTTTTTAAAGGTATCCTTGAAATGCTCTTTAACATCTACATAGAAATATTA